CAATGCAGTGACCACATGACTTTAAGGAACACTGTAGCATTTAGGGGGACCTATTGGCGGAGATGGAATATAATATTACTAAGTATGTTTTCATTAGTGTATAATCACGTGAAAATAAGAAGCCTTCTGTTGTTTTTTTTTACCTTAGAATGAGCTGTTTAAATCCACATACGGAGCTGACTGGCATGTTTCTACATCACCTCTAGATCTAGATCAGGCCATTTACGTTTCCTATTTTCACGTTTTTTGTTCGGCCAACATAGTTTTCCTACACGCCTGGCACACGGGGGAAGTTTCAGTTGGTTGCAATCTGCAACCTCACCGAAAGATGCCGCCAAATCCTACACACTGCACCTTTAAAGCTCGGTTGATTTATTTGAATTGCATTTTATTTATTATATTTGTTGAAACGCACAATAAATCCAATGCACTGTCCCAGAACTGTAATAAGCCGATCATTTCATGTGGGCCAAATTAAATGATTGGATGGCCTACCTGCCTGTCTACCTAGCTATGAAGGGAGGGGCTGGGATTAGATTTTTTGTCAGTTGGATACTTTCACAATCTAGCTCGCTGGTTTCTCCACATTTTTCTACCCCAGTTTTAAAGCTGTGATTTGAATTCAACCGAACCACAAAATTGTATTACTCGGAATGATAACTGTTCCACTGTGCATATTACAGAGAATATTTCAATTTTTAAAATCTCATTTCAAAGCTGCTCTGCCCATTAAATCATGGTGCTCTGGATCTCTAACTAGGCGACATAATGACCCGGTTGCTACGCCTCTCTTATGCTGACCTGCTGACAGCTTCAATTAAGCTGCATATATTGCTCCTAGCGAAGCTCCAGCTCCCCCCCCCCATCTCACTGCTACTTTACCAGCAATCAAATGACAACTTGGAAAAACTATTTCCAAAAAGTTGAACAAAAACTATAATGATTTTCACATGAATGGTTCTGATTGCTCGGCCCGACTCTCGCTAACAGCTCTGTGCAGGGAAGAGCGTCAGCGGGTCGCCTCAGCAGCAGCTGATTGAATCATCCAGGCCGCTCGAACGTAGAGTTTTGAGGGGTCAAAGACGATTCACGGACGAGGACATGGGAATGCTTGCATAACGTGTCCACTCATCACCTCAGCCACAGTGACACTGACACATTTAAGTGCCATAATTCCCATGATTGGTTCAGTTCACTGAGCTTTTCACATATCAGCACATCCAACTGAGGAGCAGAAAAGCTTGCAAACACTCACAGACTCACGGACGCAAACAAAGGCAAAAGCAAAGCATGTCAACTACTAGCAGTAGAGACTTTCATCTCAGACTGCCTTCTGTAAGAATGATCACTTCATTCCAGCAGACTTTTCAAGAATCTTCTCTACTCTAACGAGTGGATTTCAGCTACCAGGACATGTTCTGTCAGCTCAGCTCAGTAAACAGTGAGCACAAAGAAGCAAATATCTTTCTGCTCCGTCATGCAGTCACCCAGGGTCAGGTTATTATTAAGGTCACATTATGAGAGGATGAGAATAAGAAGACAGAGGGAGACACAGAGGGAGAGGGATTTGCTGTACTTTCTCTTCCAGGGGCTGGTGAACCATATGTTCAGCCCTGGGACACGATACATACCAAGCAAGGGGCTCAGCGAGAGCCCAGAGACACTCCGACACACTGACACATGGGAGGCAGGCTGCAAACCGTGTTGCCGGGGTCAGGTGTTCGGAGGGAGAGCACTATTAGTGGTAAACTGTCACAGTCCCGCATTAGAAACAAGGGGCCAAGTTAAGTTTAATTGAGAGCTTCAGTTCAAAAATGTGCACGTTCAGCTGGGATATCGCTTAAATGCAGGGCCGTTGATGAACTGCCCAATGATGTAAGTTCTCGTTCATTTGCAATGAATAAATGAGATAGAAATGACACAGCAAAACACATCCAGTTTTAGCTTTCAGAGGCTGAAGTTGCTGATGGACTCTTGAATCCATTAAAGCCCATAAAGAGAGATTTACCGACACTGGACATGTTAAAAACTAAAAGAGTGTCCTACAAAAGCTTGGAAGCATTCCACGACCGTGTTCCCTCATTTTGTTCCGAAACTGATAGAGGCTGCAAAGCTTGGCGCGTGTACGTGGCATGCATACGATTTATTTGAACAATTAAAGTAATAGTTTGACCTTTTGGGACATACGCTTATTCTCTTTGTTTTTTTACGGTGGAAAGGTAGATGAGAAGATTGATGCCACTCTCCATTTGGCCCGTACAGTAAATATGAAGCTACAGACAGCAGCTGATTAGCTTCGAGGTATCAGAAAAACTGGAAATGGGGAATCTAGCCAAATAAATAGTATAGAATATATATATATATATATATATACACCTTTTAATTAATTGCTCAAAGAAATCGTATGCATGTACACGCCCAGCGTTGCAGCATTTTTCAGTTTTGAAAGTATGCCAAGCACATCCAAAAGATTCAGAGGTAAAGTGAAAAACAGAGTGAGCGCTGAAGCAAAGGGACAATCCCCTGAGATCTCAGTAAGAAAGAAAGAGGTGGATGATGGAGAAAGCGCAGGCAGAGAGGGAGGGAGAGAGTTTGCCTCCAGCCTCGGCACAGAGGAGGATCAAAGGTTTGTGCTCTGCATCTCAATGGACTTCCGGTCACCAATACTGATGAGCCAGTCACAGGGTGTATGTCTTATGGGTAAACAAGTGGTCATTGCATCGGAATTAATGGTTGTCTCTGGCCCATGTTGTTCGACTGCACGGTTACCTGCAGTGATGCCATTGGTTGGAAATTCAAATTTAGGATTGTAAAAAGCCAAATTGACAAAAAAAGGATTAAAAAAAACCCCAACATTGTTATCAGGACATACGTATATTACTTTGATGTTTTCTCAGGGTATACTCATTTATCAGATCCAAAATATTTCAACAATTTCACGAAATGCATTTTGACACCTCTACAGTCTTGTGATAGGATGGCGGATCGGAAAACCAGGATCATTGTTTTGTGTCAAATTGAACATTAGTTTATACCTTTCAGACTGACAGTTTCTGTATCAAAGCGACAATTAATTCTGCCCCTGCTATCGATGAGACTCTGCCCCGTCTTTCTCTCTGGCATATGAGCCAATATGGTCATCATATTGAACGCAGCGTGTTTACGAATGTCACTCTGAGAGGAGTTTACTCTGCATTTTATAAGCGCAGCTGTGTGTTGTGCACACATCCTTGACAGTTTATTTGCTACTTAATGCAAACCGACGCTCAATTTAAGCTGCTACAGTAATAGAAAGAGATTTAGAAATGCAGTGCACAGCGTGAGACGATCACGTATTCTGCACACTAACGGGGAATACAGTTTGGCAAACTAACCACTGCTTAAGCAGGTAAACATGCCGTCAAAAATAAACCAACTGTACCAGATCATTGTTGTTTGTGCCAGTTGGGGTTGGGGGTCTCAGAATCCATAAATATAAAACAGCTTACAACATGTTCAATTTTACTTTGGGCCTGAGTTGAGGAAAGTTATGGGAATTGGATTAAAGAAACAAAAGCCAGTTTCTGTTGATAAATACATAACATTGTGTTCAATGTTTTTGCAACTGTCCAGTGTGTTCAGCATTATTTTAAAGAGTAGGATTAAAAAAGGACACATTACATGACTGTGGTGTACCAACCTGTTGTCACTTCCAAATACCGCAAAAGGAGTTTAGGAAACGTGTGCTCATTGTTAGAAAATAATAACAATCCTCAATTAAAAGCCGGTACGCAATTCATTTACGGAGACGTGCAAGTCATTGCGTTTTCAACAATGTCCTGCAAATATCTCAGAATAAAAGCCACAGAAAGATGCTGGAGGGCTTCAATTTTGAGACGAAAACAGGAAGAGACCTCGAATCTGTAGAAGTGACGCAGCTAAGCCGAGCCCAAGGATGGGACAGACAAACGCAGAACTGTCACCAGGAGACATCTGTTTGTGTCCCGCATGAAACTAAAATGAAAGAAAATCATCAAAAAATCAAAAATAGTTTGAATAGCTTTGGGCCACTGACCAAGCCTCGCTATTTGATGTGTTGGGTGCACTATAATTCAGCCGTGACCTTCCACCCTTTAACGTTGCCTGGTCGAAACAGCAGACCAACTGCTACTTTAACGATCAGAGGATTTGTCCCAGATTATGGAGAGTCATTACTCTAATGCTCTTTTTTATACGTGATCTAATGTGGGTATACTTTGAGAATGTGGTTGTTGCTGTAAAGTGTAAGCAATCCACTCATCCGGGGGAAAAAAAAAGAAGAATCTGCAGTGCAACCTGTTCTACAAAGACATATCTTCCTCAGTTATGAATCTTTTATGAGGAGGATAAACATAGATCCAACATGAACTGTTAAAGATATTTTTTGTTATTGTACTTGAGAGAGAATGCATATGCTATTTTTGTCCGGGGATGTTTTCTGTTTTAATACCCTCCCTGCTTATCTGGTGACATAAAAACAAGGACATCCTTTACTGTTTCACTGTTGAGTTAATGTCTCACCATCAACGGACGACAATAGCTTGAACAATTTTAATTATAGACAGAAGGCCATGTTCATTTCACACTGTGAATGATTTAGAATAAATGGACAACAAATAAAAAACAATAAAGTAATAAATAAAACTAACAAATGCAGTTCATCAGAGCGCTTCAGTGTCTACATCAGGACCTATATTATTTCTACATCCATGTTTTTAATGCTGTAATCATCAGGGAAAATTTGATGTATTCTCTAAACACCTATTGTAATTACAATTTTGACATTATCTTTCATTAGTGTGTGTTTGTCTGTCACAGATGGTTGTAAATCCTCTAGTGAAACACTCACGACCTCCAGTGGGATTCTGTCCCTTTAACTTGAGAGCCTATTAATTGTCTGCAATTATCCATTGCAGGCGTAACATCTGTCAGAAGTATCTCTTCTCTTCCCACGTGGATAGAAAATGCCATAGTGGTAAAGGTTGACTGCGACATTCACTGTTTATTGCACAGTAGGGCTTGTACAGTCCGAATTTCCCATCGCAGGTTTAAAAGAAACATGTCCGCCTCACCACTACCCCCATCCCATGTTCTTTTGTTAGACAACAGCTTGCATACAGGAGAATTCATGAAGACAGTGCCTCATATAGGTTCTATTAATGAAAGAACAAAAACGAAATAATGAGACATTTGTAAACTAGCTCTTTTGATTACTCTGTGTTTAAAGTGTGCTGTTCTGTAACAATGGAGGAATCATCCGCAGTTCCCTCGGTGCATTCAAAATCTTTAGTGCAAATTTCAAGAAACAAAAGTAGAGAAACCAAAAACCGACACTGAGGAAATCATAAGGCAACAATTATAAATATATCAAAAATAGTCATTAGAGAACTATCTTTGTTACAAAATGGGTACAAAAGTTTTGTCCTGCACCAGTGAGAGGGACATGTTTTTCAGTTCCTCTACTGATTTCACAGCCTTGTATCCCAGCTGGTGAAGTACTTTTTGACAAACAGTCTGTGTGTATTCTACCATGTCGTAAGACAGTTTCAAGCGCCAACTCTCGGCATTAGCTGCCGAGTCCCTCACTGTACCAAACTTGTGTTTGGCTGAGGGCTCACTGCTGCCCCGAGTGTTTGCATGTATCCAGTCTTCCACGTTTTTATCCAAAGGCAGCCCCAGATAGTCATAGATCTCCTTCGTCTTGAGGAGCGGATTCCTGGCCAAATCCTCATAGCGAACCAACATGTATTTCCCTTTCAGCCAATAGGGATGGCTGAGACCAGTTGAAGCAGAACTGAGAAAGTCTTCACAGACAACTGTGAGCTGACTCAGGTCTAGATTGTAGGGCCGTCGCCCCGTGGCCCTCCAAATACGCCACAGACGATACGTATCCCTGAACGTCTCGATCCGCGATGACAGGATGCCACGCGGGTCTCTGACCAGTTGGATCACTTTGATATTCAACCGCGGGTCCTCCACCAAAGCGCGTAGATCTCCGATCTCGGGCACCCGGACAATTTTGATTGCCACGTGCCGCTTCTCGCGGCATGCCTCCGTCGCTAAGGTCATGTTCAGGGCCGCGCACTTCTTCACGCAGTCCCCTTCTTCAACATTCACATCAGCGGTACCGAAGGCATCGCACACAGGCTGCTGGCACAACGCCCGGCTGGCGCCACGACGGAACAGTTTATCCGTGGTGTGGTTCGTGGGCGTCGGTTTGATGTAGCTCTCCAGGAAATAAAGGTCGCAACCGTACAGGCTGCGCAGGAGGTCCCGGCTGGCGCCCAGCATCACGCGGCGGTCCGCAGCATTGCGGCTGTGCGAGAGACGCGGGATCAGCGTGGTCTGGACATGATAAAGGGGCTCGAACAGGTAGAACACCTCCTGGTGCTGGTTCAGTAGCTGGCCGACAAAGGAGGAGCCGCTGCGGGTGGTGGCCAGCACCAGGATGTGCGTTTTACGCGTGGCATTGATGGAGAAGTAAGGGTAGTCATCACAGCCTCCACTGCCTGCTGCTCCCCGCTCAAAGGGGGGTTCGGTCTCCTGGCCCCCAACACCACAGTTCTGGCGGCTGGGCAAAGGGCACAGCTGGAAAGGCTTGGAGGTGAGTGTCCGGATGGCCGTGTACTGGATGGCGATGGAGGCCAAGGCCAGTAGAATCACTGCCTTCCAGGAACATTGCATGGCGGAACCACTTCATTTAGACAAAGCGGTCCATGCCAGCTCCTCCCTGTCAACAAAAAATATATATATATATTTTTTTTTTATTCTTGAAAATGATTTGTTATTTCATCAGGTTTTGGGGTCCAACAGTTCTGTGAATATCTTTCTAAGTGTTTCTACCCAGACAGGATCCCTTCCTGCCCTTAAATGACGATTGATTTGACATATTTGACACTACAATTGGACACAGTGCAGTGGAGAGAGGAGACCGTAACAATGAAATCTTATTTAAATATGCCAATTAAGGGTGGGACTACTTGAAATGTGATTGATTTTAGAATTGAGGGTGAGTCACCAGTGGCTTGAATATGAAGGCTATAATTTATTTATCATTCTGGGGACAAAAGATTTTCATTCACTTTCGCACGTACGTTGAAGGCAGAGTTGATGATTTACTATATGCTGAATAATAAAAAGAATAAGCCCTTAATAAAGATTGCTGTGGCCACGAGTCAGAGTCCCGTGACCTAATCATTTAATTTGTCTCCCGTTGCTCCTTCATTTGCTACAGCCTCATTTTTGAAAATGAAAATAGACAAAGAGGAGAGTTCTTAGCTCTAACTTTTGGTTCCTATCCAATCAGCTGACACTGACTGCCGAAAACATGTACAGCAGTCTGAGGGACTAAACCGTATACAGTATCTAAAAACGGCAAGACATCTTTGCACCAGTGTTTTAAAAATAGCTTTTCTGTGAATATTGAATAAAATGTTCTGGTTATATGTCTGGAGCATGCTTTACAGGTACAAAATGCATCAACACTTACCATATAATCATTATTAGGGACACCGAATACTTCCAAGTACACTATACTGCAGTAAAGCCCCACACATCCACCCTGGCTCTCTGTCTTCTCCAACATGTCTGCATCTAATTCAAGGAGCTTGTTTGGCCTGATTGGAGAGTCTGAGCATTGTGCCGTATTCCACTTGTTCATCAGGGGAAGAAAAGCCCGGCCCACAAAAGGTAAACAATAGTTTAAAGCTTCACTGCCAATGTCACGTCAAGGGGAAACGATGCTGCGAGTGTAGAATTTGATAGAAAACCTGTCCCATTCAGAGTGAGAATTATTATTTTTTAAACACTTTAGCATAACATACCGGTTGCCTTGATGCAGGGAGCTTTGATGGTGTAAGTAAAATGAAAGGCTCACCATCATCACTTCAGAAGACCATGCACGAGACCTGTAAGGTCCAAAAAGAAATGATGCATCAGGGGGTATCTCTTCTGACTCCAAAGCAGCTCTTAAAAAAAAAAACATCTGAGGAGGAAAATTAAAATCCCAGACTTGTTTTGTGAAAGCAGATACAAAATCTATTCTCCTCCCACTCTGTTGAAGGAACTGAAGGGGTTGATGGTTTGCTTTAAAATACTAAATACCGACAGCAACTCTGACAACTCACGCTTACAGAGAGCGTCAATGCTTTATTCTCATACACATTTTGAATGAAAAGAAAAAGAAAAGCCCACTATACTGCAGCGGGGACAGGTTAGGCTTCCTGACAAGATATATTCCCGCGATGCAGACATCCTCACCGAACGCTGCGTTAAGATACCACGGCGCAAACGATCGCATCCTACACCAGCGGCAAGTGTTTAAAAAAATAATCACCTTAAAAATAAAAAAAAACCTGCATTAATCTGATGACGAAGGAACAGTGAAATGATGGAGCGGAATCGCACTAACTCCGTTATACCTTGATGGTAGTTGTAGTATTCTCATGGTGCGCTGCACGTCCACGAATCACTGCTGCTTTTTTCCTTCAGTCCTCGAACGTTTTCCACCTCTCGGGTTGGAGAGAATAAATGCGCCTGGCGGAGCCGTATTTTCCCATGTAACGGTGGATGCGAGTCGGTTTAAGTTGAACGGTTGGCTTCGGACGCAGAGAGACAAATAGGGATGTAAAAAAAAAAAAAAAACAACAACAACAACAACAAAGTGGAAACGCTGGAGCGGTTGTGTTATTGTGAAGCAGCCGGTCGGTGAGAGGAAAAAAAAAAGGCGACAGCAGGGCTCCCCTTAAATGATGCGCATGAGGCTGAGAGTGTGTGAGGTAGCTACACAAGGACCGACTGTCTGGACCACCCCAGACCCCTCCCCCTTTCCACCTGCCTCTCCCTCTCCCTCTCTCTCTGTCACACACACACACACACACACACGCACACCATCATCCTCAGTCTCTTGCCTGCCACATCACACACTCACAGACACCCCCTCCCTTCCCCGCTCATCACGCAGGCGAATCAGCTCTTTTCACCCGGCCAATGTGGAAGCGAGTTCAGTGATTCCATCAACCCTTTTTTTCCAAGTTTAAATCATGTGCAAATGTTTGTTTTGCATAAAACCAGGGCTACTTTTATTTATATATATATATATATATAAATTTGACAGCATATCCTACAGGTTAGTTTTTATCTGACTTATCTCCCATGTTATCCCACTTGTCTGATTCTATAGCGCGCCAGTTTTGTGGGATTCTTTTTCATTTATTATGGCAGAATCGTTTCTCTCCTGCCTCTTCATTTTTTTTTTTTTTGACGTGAACTCGTCACATCAGCAGTACCGCCTCGGGCTCTGTGATTCTGCAAAGCCTTCGCTAACCGATACAAGAGTGAGTGGGCAGATAATGAACAGGATACCTAAAGTGTGAAGAGCTCATGCCGTTTGAAGCGGGGCTGAAAATCAGGAGAAAATAAGCTTTAGAGAATGGCTGAGGAGGAGGAGAAGGAGAGGGATGCACAAGTAAGTATACTGCACACGTGTGAAGACAAGCGGGTCTATAACGGTGTGGCAATAATGCAGTGCACATGTAGGTTGCAATCATACCATGCCACCACGTTCAACATTCTAAGAAATGATATAGTTTGGTACCATTTTCTAATAAGGCACCTTTTATGAATGATTGCAATTGGTTTTTTGTTAGAAAAATTCACTCGAGGCCGATGTAAAAATCATTAAACAGGACATTTATTCTTGCAAAAAGGAGACAGAGTTGATTCACATCCATCAAGGCTGCTCAGAGGTCTGCCTCTGAGTCTCTGATATTTATACTTGAATAACAACAGGCAGTGTGGTGGCACAGGGTAATTTACAATAAGTCAAGTCACAAATGGATAACACACATACGTATTGCGTTTCACACAGCGTAATCTTCACAAAACCTGGAACAACACTTTAACAGTTTGCTCTAGTACAAAGGTCATTCTATGAAATCAGGAAGTCTTGGTTGCAAATCAGCTCTGCGTAAGTATTGACGTCTTCTACAGCTTTATTATCTCTTATTTAGGACACGCATCTGCTAGCCCCCAAGAGGAAAGATATCTGAGACGCTTGGTGTCAGAGGAAATTTTACACAACCAGACATGCGAGGACACAGGCCTCGAGAGTTCACATGAGGACATAAGTACACAGCTAATAATTGTATTAATGTCTTATGGATAAGCCAATAATAATAATAATAATAATAATAAAGACAAACTTAGGTTTAGCATGTTTGAAATAGTCTCTGGCGAGTGTTTATCCTCCAGCAAGGGACTTGCTTTGTGCTTTTCATTACATCATCAGGTAGATCACTCCATAGGGCCGTTTGGCCACCAAACGTCTTGATTGTCAGTGTTGTCGAGCACGTGGATCCAAATTCATTTATTAAAAACGTATTAACATTTAAGCTACAATTAAAGATTGGAGGGATTGTTGCAACAAAAAAACAACAAGTGACTTAAAAACATTTAGGTCAACAACTACAGATTTGATGACTCATTTGAAAAGTGAGAGAAGGAGCGCCTTGGCAGCAGAGTGGTTACAGCCAGCCCCGACCGCGATGGTTTTAATGAACCTAACCTAAGTGTTTTTGTTTGAATGGCAACCAAGGGTTTACCGCGACCATAGTCGAGCGTCGTAGTTTGACGCATTAGAAAGTGAAGCCAAGGGTCCTGACCAAGCATCAACTCCTGAAGAATTGGGATGAGAACTGCAACATCCTGGGTTCGATTCCAGCCTCACGCTCCATTTCACCCTCTCTCTCTCGACCACCGAGATACTTGAACTCCCTCGCTTGGGGCGGTGACTCACTCTTGACTCGGAGGGCACAATCCACCATTTTCCTGCAGGCAACCTTGGTACTTACTTGTATCGCAATCGCTCAACAGTCAGCTGCAAAGCACCAGTGTGTGCTGAAGGTCGCGGTCTGATGGAGCCAACAGAACAGAAATTCTATTGTGTCCTATTTAATTATTTTGATTCATCTTAGTATCGGTGTTGAGCGACAAGCATCTCTCAAATGTCAACATCCCTGGGAAAAGACGTTAGTTTCAAACCGACTTAGCGTTGGAGATTTTTAGGAAGATTTAATTAACCGAAAGGGCCACAGAATGAGACATTGGCCATGAAATGAAATGAAATGCTATTATTTAATTAAGTGATACTTGTATATAGAATATATCCAGATGATGACATAGGACACAAAACTAGCAGTTGCATGGATCTAAACATGCCTTTTTTTTTTCTCCTTCAGGGTTATATATTCATTCTTTGACAACAGAGTTTCTCTTTTTCGCTCAATAAAATCTCAAGAGGATGTTTTCCTGATCTATATCTCCAGTGAAAAGAGATATAAAAGATGCAGTCCAGCTTTGGGAGTCAGGGGAAATGGACCATTTTGAGGAACTTGTGAATCCAGCAGACTATCATGATGCGAGACATTGGTTCCCCAAATTCGCTGGCAAGAGGTCGGCGAGGTAGTTAAAATGCTCTGAGAGTGCCAGAGATGCCAAGATTTGACGGCCTGACGCGTCACCAATTCCATTTTACTCAGACGTCAAATAGCCTCGCGATGCCGACCTGAATTAGCAATCTCAGTTTAAACGGCAATATTTCAGAAGCACTGACTTGAGCCTGGACACAGCAAGCTGGACCGATCAATAAACCATGGTGAGTGGTTTAGAGATGATGGCTGGACTCTTGACCCCAAGCCATCTACATGTATTATCCACAGTTGTAGATATTACATGAACTATAACTGTGCACTGTCAATGGAAAGGAGCAGTGGCTGTTTTTAAACTGTATTTTGAAGCAGCCTAAACAGTAATGTGGCAGTTTTAATAGACTTGAAGTGGTGTAATAAATATTTAGATCCTTTAATAAAAAAGCAATACCACACGGAAAATGACAAATAAAAATTCTGCAATCCTGCAAGTACAGAAGTATTCATTGTACTCACTGTCCAGTGAAAACCGTTTAGTGATTTTAAGTATTACAATACCAGAAAGATTGAGTAGATGCTTCAGTTTCTTAAGATAATTAATCCAAATCTGAAAAATGCATTTTGGAGACGGTACGGTGTGGAATGGCTCCTTTCGTTTTGCCATCTTTATTATAATAATGGATTATAATTACAAATGTTATTATTATAACCTGTATTTAACCAAGGAAAGCCATTGAGAGGAAGCTCTCGTTTACAAGGACGCCCTGATTACAGTACATATAATACAATAGAAGCACACAAGAGTTACACCTGCCGTCAATAAATTATACAAACGGCAACAAACAAACAGACCAAGGACGTCAACATAAAACAGGCCAAGGTGATAACATCAATTCATAGAAAACACAGACAGCATGTAAGCATTATAGTAATAAAGCTAGTCGAGGTGGAGAACCTGTTAACTGCTTTTAATACTGCTTTTCATTTTGAGAATACAATTGCATCCCATTTTCAAAGTGTTTTGTATGTAAAACCTTTATCCACAAATAAATATGTAGTTACTACAACTCTCAAATACCACTCGGAGTGAAGTAGAGGTTTACAGTGAGATAAAATGGAAAACTCAAGGAACTTGAATACATGTACTTAGTTTTCTCTGGCGGTGTCATACTCTATTCCCTGGTTAACATGCTATTCACTTGATATCACTATATGCACTATTCAAGGCAAACATCTGCCTCAGCAGGTCTTTCATTACATTTCTCTTTGTGCATGTCCACAGTCGCGTTTATTCGCCCTTTCCTGCACACTGCGAGAAGTCGCATGGGTATTGTCTTCACCTCATAGCAGTGCCGGATGGAGCGCCAGCGAAAGATGCAGCCATACAGCTCTGATTCCACGGCTGTCCCCGGAACGTCAATGTCAACGAACCCAGCTTGCGGAAAGCCTTGTCAAGGGACGCACTCCCACACTGACGCCGGGCATCTGCTGCAGCACGATAGCCTTTCAGCGCATTATCACGCAAGGGTATTCTTCTTGAGCATGCTATAAAAGGATTTGTAATAGATTCATAACATGCCAAGTTAAATAATATGTGTGAAGGGGCAAGGGGGGGGTGGCTTTGTTCTTCACTCTCTCCATCATCCTATTGTATGCACATGGTGACAGAAGCTGTTTTTTTTTTGTTTTCTGGCGTTTTTCATTTACTACTTGGAACTCTGCGCACAAAGATTTCAAGGGATTGTCGTGTTCTCATTTACAGAATAGGAGGAGGCCGAACAGAGAGCGTCCGGAAGTGTGCTGGTGTGATCGGTATAGCATATGACAACAATGTTTGATTCAATATAACGCTCTTTATTGTGTACTGTAGTGGGTGTTATTCACTTATCGATGTAAAGGAGGTGAATGTTAAGAAAGAAACCTCTAGCCACACATTTTGTAAATAAATGCATTTTGTATAATACAATCAAAATGCCATCGGTTATCTTTCATGTTGTCCCTTAAACTGCATCTATTTCATATTCATAAAAAATATCTGTCTGAATAAATTTAGTTGAAAGCCATTTCAAGTGTAAACAATAGTGATAGCTTCCGAAACCTTCACAAAAAAAGTAATTTTAAAGGGGACATATGCTCATTTTCAGGTTCTTTCATATTTTGGATTTGTACCTGACCTTGTTTTCAGTAATGTAAAAAAAAAAAACATACCTGCATTCACCCTCTGTCTGAAAGGATCAGTTTTAGCGCCTGATTCTTTAAGGCTCCCTCCCGAAATAGCCCAGTCTATTCCGACTGGCTTGCGAGAAAGATATAGCGTACAAAAAACAAACTGTCTAGGTTTTCTTGATATGTCCCCTTTAAAACACAACCTGTAAAACAATATTTTGTGCAGTCTGATTGGAATAATTAAG